AAATTCTAAATCATAGCAAATCAAAAATCTCATCTATATGACATTTAAAAGTAAAGTTTGCCTCACATTTTGGTCTTATGATTGATTAAAATTGTGTATTGGAGAAAAAAGCATATGACCTGTCAAAAGTTTTGATTATTCTTCAAATATGTATAAACAAAAACCGGGCTCAATCGGGATTTGAACCGGGGACTTCTCACCCAAAGCGAGAATCATATCCCTATACCATTGAGCCGCGATGAACAACCGTGAATCGCAAAAACACACCACCAGGTAAGTCTCGATTAGTAGTTAGTAAACTAGTTTTGCACACAAATCCTAACGAAGAAGACTCCCTCCTGGCACCCAGAATTTAAATTATAAATATAAAATAAAAACACTTTTCAATTCGTCATTTAAATATTAAGTTTGCAAAACTTTTGAATCATATAGTACCCATTCCTGATTCAATTTATACCCCAGGAAAAGAAGCATATGTGCTCTCAAAAGTTTTGACAAATCTTCAAATATAAACAAAAATTGGGCTCAACCGGGATTTGAACCCGGGACCTCTCGCACCCAAAGCGAGAATCATACCCCTAGACCATTGAGCCTCGATGAACACCTGGGAATCAGAAATACATTCCACCAGGTAATAATATAATCGATAGCTTATTAACAAATTAATTATACATATAAATTCGAACGACATTGACCACCTCGCTGAATACAGAATTGAATTATAAAAAGAAATACAGAAACCATATCAATTGGTCATTTAAACAGAAAGTATACTTCAGGTTTGGGTATGATGGTACGCATATTTGATTCAAATCATGTACTGCCTGCATGTGCCATCAATAATTTTGACAATTCTGCAAATATAAACAAAAACTGGGCTCAACCGGGATTTGAACCCGGGACCTCTCGCACCCAAAGCGAGAATCATACCCCTAGACCATTGAGCCGCGATGAAAGTCCACCTTTCACTACAATATTCGAATATATTAGTTCCATGGTATATCTAGGTCGATACCAATCTTAAGTCGAAATCCCACCATCATCGACTCTGTACCTCCTACTCAGCACACACCGCGTCCAATATTTAAAGCACCTGTAGCGAAATTATTTTTTTGAGCTGGGCAATAAATTCCGTCCGCATGACAATTTCAATTTAAATTTTCAATTTCTCTTAACGGTATTTTTACGGCAGATTTTACGACTAACACATTTCCCACATCACGACAACAAACACGCAAGATTCGCCATGCCTCAACGCGGTGGCAGTCGTTAAAAGTACTTTCAAGAAACATTTAAAAATCCTCCTCACATCGTCGCGATGAAAACCGACGACGTTGGCACCGTCAACTCGCGGAACAGATTGTATATCTCGCTGTATCTTTAAAAAGGCCATTAATTAAAATATAATCCACGAAGATGGCAAATTTTAACGGCGTCGTAAATTAATTGATATGTTAATAAAGTGCGCAGCTATACACCATGCAAAATTGCCTGCTCATAAACCCAGCGATATAAAAAGAATCTCTGTCATTGCTATGATCATAGCAGTGTAAAGCAAAGCGAAATTAACGTGACGGCAATCACCGGTTTGAGGCGTTCGCGCTAAGCGCCGCATATTCGCCAATGCACACAGCTAGTTAGCAAGTGATTTACTCGGTGTAATTAACATGTAGGCAGCAAACGAAGTTAGAAGGCGAATGTGATTCACCGGAGGCTGAGTACCGGTCACATCCATTCCAGGTTCGTCCAAAACATTAGTTTAACGATTTTTTCGCCCCCTCGGCAAGAAAGCCATTCTAATAATGAGCATAAGTATCTTGACAGAATGTAAAAAGCTAAAAATGTAAATTAAACCTCGAAATTTTTGCGAATCACCAACAAAATGGCCCCCTGGCTACCATAATGGCAGCATGCGTGTACAAAACAGCGCAAAAATTACGGAAAACCAACAATACAAAAGTGGTAATTACATGTTGACGTTGCAACCACACGTTCGCCAACTGTGTATCCAGCTTGGCGCACAATTAAACGAATGGCACCCGTGGCATCCTTCAAGAACTGCTCGAAATTCGTGCGCGGACATTGGCGGCATTTGTTCAGGCCAGAGAATCAATTGTGCTAATGAGACCATGCGTTTTAGTAAAATACGCGTATTGGCTGCGGCTGGAAGGAAGCGCGCCGTCAAAAATTTGCCCTTTTATTGGGTACAATGGGCTACAATGGCGGCGGAAACGCACGCAATGCACGAACGATTTAAATAGCATAATGAAGGAGTGTGCGTTTTCGTACGTGCGCACTTTTTTTGTGTCCAGTTTGGTACCAGCAACATTTTAACAACACATGTTTGACATCCTAAAGAGATGTTGAGTAGATAATGATAGACATGAGGTAAATTCTGAACAATTCAGAGAAAACTCGAAGAAAAAAACATTGCAATATTTGTTCACGCAAAATCCTAGTCAACAACTCCGTAGACTTCAAAGTTTTTCATTGCACAAGCATATATTTAATTTTAATAGACTTATTTATCGTTTATGGATATGCATAAGGCGTAATGGTATATATAAAACGGGCAGAAAAATGCAAATGCACATTGCGTCGACTGGCGATTGCATTTGGCGTTTGATAGCGATAAGCGAATGCTAATTGGCCGTTTAAATTTACAACAAACTCTGGCGGCAATAATTGCGCCAATAATGGTAGAATTTTCATGTCAATTAAATACATAACAGGCCTACCAACCAAGCAAAAGCACTCACTTCGTTTACCAGTTTATCAACATAACGACCTACCTATTCTCTATGTGTAATGAATGGAAAAGTGCGTGCACTTTTCGCAAACTCAATTATCATTTCCTCGTAATTAGGTTACTTGGAAGCAAAATAAATGATAATATCAACTCGGTTGACATTCATACGATTGCACGTACGCAGCGCACACGGCGACGCGAATGATTAATGAATGAAGTAATTGGAAGCATTCTTGTAGATTGTAGCAATTATTCATATCGCGCTAAGTTATTGAGTTTCGTGTAGTTGGCACATTACAGATATTGTCACAGTGCAACGCATATAACAAGCGCACCCGGCTTTCGTTTTCTCGCTGCCAATGCGTACAAACACAGAGAGCGATAATAATTTGTTCGTGTTTCTTGCTGATTATGTCGCAATTACGTTGCGCAGGGCAAGCCTTAAAGGCCGCGCTAATTCACGAGTGAAAAAGTTATTATTGAAAAATACCTGTTTCGCTACTGTCGCGTCCGAGCTGCGTCGAAATGAACATATCATTGTGGACTACTGAGCACACAGCAACATAAGAAGCGTCTTTTGCCGCGACGTGTCCAAGCTTTTGTCCGACGTCGCGGCATAATGCAGTCGCGATGATAAATGAGCGCGATAATAGTCGCATTCTTGCGAAATGTAGCAATAATTCATAACCCACTAAGGCAGCGCGATTCAAACGCGACAGCAGACGAAAGAAACTTGTACAATGTAAATACAATTCATGTCTACAATATCAATTACTAAATTAATTTAGATGCACAAACTGTAAAACTCTACGAAATGAACTAAATTCAAAGATCGTAAACCTTCAAAGTACATACCAACATCGTATATCAGGCAAATTTATAAACTCACCTCGAAGAAAATCGCAAGTAACGTGCATTATAATGGTGTCAGGCGTGCAACTTATAAGATCAACCTTTAAATAAACATCAACGAGTCGGACAAGTCGCGTCGTTCGGCCCATAAATAATCATTCATCTTTCGCATTTTTTTATATATCACCGCCTGCTTAAGAATTCCATTGTTGTACGTGCACCACGTACAACTATTACAACTTGTAAAAGTTCAATTTGCACCAGGAGATTGAGGTGCCAATAAATTAATTAAATAAATTAACGCGACTGCCATTCACCGTTGCTTGATTATAAACTTTACAGCAGGGCTAATAATAGTGTAAAACATCATGACCCGTGTTTGTGGAATATGTAAAAATGTGCCGATTACAAATTTACGCAGAGCTCCATTGTTTTACAAGAATCATAAAGATAATTATTGCGTCGGTTCGCATGTATAAATCAGTATAACAAGGATGTCGAAATATTTGCGTCATAAATACGTAGCTGCATTTATCGTTTTTCATGTTTCGCGTCTTCGCCGCACAAATGCTTAATTACATTCAGTAAATCAGAGAAAAAAAGTCAATGATTTGCGATTAAATAAACGTGTGCAATGGTTAAACAGTAGCCAACTAATAAAGGTTATTATCAGTTAAGTGCTGTTGCTATGAACTGCATCGTAAATGCACAAAACAACACGTATTGTGCACGATTGATTAAAAATAACCATTACTTACATATTGTAGCGCGCACGAGTGTTAATGTTTTTGAGAGAGCTGTTATGGGTTTCATAAGAAACCTAACGGAATTGTTGTTTGTCAGAAGTTAAACAAACTTGTTAATCTCATAGTTTGCAACCTGCTCTGGGCAAATCTTGTGCGCCGAGAATGTAAAGTTTGAAAAAGCATTCTCGGAGAGTTGAACATTGTAAACGCTGAAAGTGTTGTAATGCACCGAACGGCGGGCGATCGGAAACCGTTCGTAATAAATCGAAATTTGCGCAATGCGAACCGAACGTCTCATTTATGCAAATATGTAAATCGAATGCCACGAAGTGTATGTCAAGATTTTTCATCTCCCAGGTGCACGCTTCGCGTACGTTCGTATATTTATATTCGCGCGAAACCTTCACGAAATTTCCTTTCTTGGATCAAGCGTGAAAACTAGTTGTTTTACGAATAACTCCTCTACAAGGACAATGAACCTTAAAAGTATCACTTTTCGGTCTTTTTTCGTCACAATGAGTGATTTAAATTTAATGCATCGACATTCCCGTAGTGGACACAGTTTAATTTGATTTCTCTCGCGAGAATAAGAAAAAAACAAACAATGGGTACATCAAGCCGGATGGTTGGAATAAGTGAAAGTAGTGACTTACCTGTTAAGTGATTCCCGGTGAACTCAAAGTCGTCGTCCTGGTCCCAGTGCTTCAGCGAGAGGTTCGACAGTGGGGTCGCGTTGGCAAATTCCAGATTCGCAAAGTGCCAGTCCAAGATCTGCCGGTCCTTGGAGGATAAATACACGTCACTGTAACAAAATTAAACATAAAGAAGATATTAAACAACGCAAATAATAAAATTTTTCATGGATGTATAATAATAGTCGTAACAATCCGTAAGATTATTGTACCAATTAAAATTCCGCACTTGCTCAACTAGTAATTAAGTTGCTTAGAAGCCAAGATCGCCATGAATATGCAAGCCAAGTATTTACTCGGCAAGAGCGGCAAGATGCCAACAAGAAACAATTTGCTGAGAATTGCGAGCCCCATTGGCACATTACAGAAACCGTTAGAAATTATAGACTGGAATTACGTTTCGCTTGATTCCTGCATATTCACAGTATTTTTCAGCTGAAATAATGACAAAAATTTATTTAAAACATTTAACATTCTTCTGATATCGACACCCATAGACCTTTCGAATAAATAATACCTGTTAGTGAAAAATAAAAGTTGCAAAATTAATTGCGCTGAATTCGCTAACGCGATAATTGCATTAATTATCTCAAAATATTATACACTTGCGGTCAATGAATTGCCTATTAACGATTAGATATATGCGAATAGCGGAAAACGTCGGATACGCGGCAACAGACACTTGTAATTATAATTATTTACGTCTGATTTGGCTGCAAAATGTCCGCGGTGTGAAATTGCAAAACGAAACGTCCACCGCTCTCGTAGATACATTTCAGTCTTGTTAAAGTAACGCCATTCTCTTGTGCACCTCGATGCATGTGATTTATATCATGCTATTTAAATTAAATTAATGCCGCTCGTGTTTTACTATTAATTTATCGCTTTTGCGTAATTTGCGTAATTAGACTCAGTCAACACGTTTTTCCCGCCACCGATAGAAAATTTATATCGGCGCGTTCGAATTTATTATTATCGCATATTTTCACAACATTTCATAACAATAAAATATGAATGTAATTTGTTTTCTCGACTATCTACAAATCGACTAACTAAACGGCGAATTATTTATGTCAATGACAAAAGGCTTTTAATTAATGCGATATTATTCTTACCTAGGCGGATTTGCTTCTAAAATCTTCAACTTTTCTTCAATCTCAGTCGCCTGTTCTTGCAACAAATCCCATTCTTTAGCAAGTGCCCTTAAATCCCTCGAAGTGCTCCGATAGGCAAACTCCAACTCAATATCTCTCTTCTCAATTTCACTTAACTCTTTATACTTAGCATGTAATTCAGTCATATTATCTTTAATGTTAACCAATTCTCTCTGGTTAACTTGTAGTTTCTCCTGCAGACCAATGACGGACTGTAGGTGTTGGATTTGTTTCTCCATATTGTGTTTCTCCTGGAGTTTGATCACCCATTCTAAAGCTTGTCCCAAGCTTACAGGCTTATTACCAGCATAATTAAAGTCTAACTGATGAGACAAATAGGAAGTAGCTTCCAACAATCGATTGAACTCTCGTTCAACCATCTCATCCTTGTCTTTGTCGACAGTAACACCAGTCGATTGATACAGAGGACATTTCTGACGAATGCGATGCAGTTCCATATCAATCTGTTTGCTCAAAACAGTGACTGGATTTCCACCCAAACCAGTAACAACCATAGCACCTAAATCTGCAATGTAACTACCTTTTCTAAAGGTAGCAATGCGACCTCCTACTCGATCTCGAGCCTCCAGAACAATTACTTCAAGCCCAAATTGTTGCAGTTGCTGAGCAGCTGCTAAACCAGCTATTCCTGCCCCAATGACAATTACTTTGCCATATTTTTTAACTGGCAATGGTTTCAACCTTTTAAAAATTCCGAAATTGATAAAACCATTCCTCTCTAGGAATGTGTGCACTCTTTTTACTAAAGCTAAGTCACTATTAAAAGGTGGCTCAATGTGATCAAGAACTTGATCAATGATTAGCTGCTGCTTAGGATTATCAAGCCACATTTGTAAGATTCTGTTACGAATGTGTAAGTACACCTTTACAGTTTGCATTACAGCCTGAGCAATGTCAGGAAAGCATGCTGCTTCAGTAGAAGTCATTTTATCAAATGGCATTCGGCTTTGAAAAGCTGCACCTTCAATGCCAGAGAATAAATCTTTGATTATAGGATCATCTGGCTCCGATTCAAGCTCATCCTTCTTTTTCTCTTCCTTTTCCTTATCCTTCTCATCTTTTTTAATCTCCTTTTCCTCTTTTTTAGGCTCCTTTTTAGCTAATTTTGAGCTGGTTGCTAGTTTCTTATCTGCAGCAAGCACCTTAGTCTTATCAGTGGCTTCAGGGACAGGATCCTCTTCAATTTCAATCACTTTTTCATCCATTTCTTTACTTTCAAGCTGCAAAATCGAGTTTGTTTAGCATACAAATAAAAGATTGTTTATATAAATAACCTCAAAACATGAAGTAAACAGCTAGCGGGATTATCTACATGAAATAATCATGGCAAAAGAAAAAATTATGTGTGTTTACCTTCGCTTTTTTACGACGACTCATTCTGGAGCACTTCCGTGAAAGAACAACGCGCAATTAAGTAAATATCACCAAATATTTACCGCGAAAATTAAACCGATATCTGCAATGTGATGATAAATTGTTTGTTTACTTGTATAGTCGAGAACAAAACCATAGAACTGCTACCGACCTCTCTACCAGGTAGGTATAACTGCAAGAGTCTAGAGTCCCCTCTTTGGTGAGAAAGTCAAAACTAACTTGTGCTCCATTCCGCTTCATTCCAGTTCTGAGCAACAGACGGTGCTACAATACCGAAAATTAAAGTTTTATTTCTTTTGATAGTGATTCATTCGATAAACTAAAGTTAAATTGGACACGTTCACAATAGAGCGAGAGCCAGTGACGGCCAGACTTTCGTCATTTTAGGAAAGATGAAATTTTGTCCATGTGTTTCTCCAGCACAGGTAAGAACGATCCCCAATTATGAAACTTGGATCGTGGTTCCTTTGGCAGTTAACAGCCAACAAAGATGTACACATGATGACCTATGTTTCGTTATTTTAGCAAACTCCATTTTTGCATATTTTGTTCGTAACATTATTATAACATGCGCTGCTCATTGCCAGTCACCTGGTATGGTTCCAACCCTAGCCAGACACCCCTAAACTACGAGTATAATATTTTTGAACTTTTTTACTTTCGTTATATTAAGAAAGCTGAATTTGATACACATTAGGCAGAGAGCTATGAAACTGTGTTTTCTTTGACGCCAGACAGTTTGGTCGGTTCTATCATCCTGCCAGACGCATTGAAATTGTATAAAAGTTGCAAAAGTTAAATTGTTTAAACATAAAATTTTCAGAGAATAGTAATTTTAATTTAACAAATATTTAATAATAATCATCACTGTCGTCGATATCTTGGCTATTCGTTCCTTTCTATCTCCTTTAGTTTACAAGATATTAGCAATTGAAATAAAATGCAAAAATTGAAAAATTGCACTTTTGAGCACTTTCAGTCGCGGTATCGAGAACAATGATGAAAATTAATAAAGATTTGTTAAAATAAAATTACTATTATGTGAAAATTTCATGTTTAAACAATTTAACTTTTTCAACTCTTATACACTTTCAATGCGTCTGGCAGGATGACAGAACCGACCAAACTGTCTGGCGTGCTGGAAAACACAGTTTTATAGCTCTCTGTATAATGTGTATCAAATTCAGCTTTCCTAATATAACGAAAGTAAAAAAGTTAAAAAATATATACTTTAGGGGTGTCTGGCTAGAGTTGGAACCATACCAGGTGACTGGCAATGAGCAGCGCATGTTATAATAATGTGACGAACAAAATATGCAAAAATGGAGTTTGATAAAATAACGAAACATAGGTCATCATGTGTACATCTTTGTTGGCTGTTAACTGCCAAAGGAACCACGATCCAGGTTTCATAATTGGGAATCGTTCTTACCTGTATTGAAGACGCACATAGACAAAATTTCATCTTTCCTAAAATGACGAAAGTCTGGCCGTCACTGGCTCTTGGTCTACAAGGCTTTATCTGAATATAAATCATTGTTTATAAATTCGACCGATAATACTGACTTTTACAACTTGAAACACTGTTTCACCGATAAGAAATTCTCGGTATTTTAAACTATAACAATTGTTATTACTATAACTCTCACTTTACTGACCTTTAGTTGCTTACAATTTGATAACACTATTCGCTATAAAGTTCTCACACCTCTGGAGCTAATAGCAATTTTTTTTTTAAATTAAAACATTTGTTTACAAGCAGTAATTTTATTGGTCTTCTAGCTGCTGTTTGACCACATGATAAAATTATTCCAGCCACAAACTGTATAAACACTTAGACGCACATTCATAAACCAATAAATAATTACAGTCACCAACAGCATGTCGCATAATACCGCAACAATTGTTTATTGCTGTTCTGGTTTAACCAGTATTTACATTTTTACTTCGTGGAAGTCTCGCTACGACGTAGACAAGACAAAAACTCCCCTGCAAAATACGTCTTAGAACTATAAAACTTTTGCTATAGGACTAACAAACAAGACAAATAAATTTTACTGACCGCAAATACTTTTTTTACGGCGTATCAAATCGCTAGCCAAATATCGCAACGGGAAAAATAAAACGTTTCGAGAGTTTGAACGTTTCATGAAACATGTTGAAACTTTTGATTTACAATTCATGTCTGTGAGTTGTCTTCGCCTATTGGAATAGGGTTGTAAATCACAATTTGTTCAAAATTTCTAAATGTGCTTAGAACGGTGCCCAAGAAGCCACCACAATCGCTTTCTTCAACTTGGCTTCTTTTCATTAACTTCTAGACATCGGATATTTCGCAAATGAGGGCAATAAAATTGGGGTTACACTGCTATTGTAATGGTTGACTCGGAAGAAATTTCATGTTGAGCTTGTCTCGCCTAGGTTCTTGTTAAACTCAACCATCTGCGGCTGTAAATGATTTTATTGCTGAAATTCTTGTGCGACGAAAGTTACGGTTAGTCCAGGAATTCTGGGAAGTGATATTACGTTGAAAATGCTATGATCAAAAAGAGTAGCTTTGTGAACTTGATCGGGAGCTCATTAGAACCTAATAGGATTACCGCATAACCAGGGGCTGAGTTTGATGTGCATTCTACATTTCAACATGTCTCAAACTTTGATGCGTATCGCTTTTATATCGAAATTATGTGGTGCATAGTTGGGAATTTCCTGAGGGCTACATTCGAAAGTATGTAAAAGTAACGTAAAACAGGTTTGAATACAAAACAACCAGAAGACATTGACTGTGTTGATCCTGTCGAAAGTAATAATTGGGTAGTGTTCACTGGCTTAATGAACTTAATTAGGATGCGGTTATGTTTTTTGACTTTTGACTCGTCGGGATTTGTGCAGCTATTGCATTAATTAATCTGTTAGTTTAGCGCTAGCGTGATGCTGGAAAAGTTAAACATTGGGCGCACAACATTGTAAACACGCTCTGCTTGTTTGACGCTGGAGGTGCAGCGTTGTTCCTGTATCGGGATATGCACGAAAGCTCCTGATGTCCACGAGTGTGTATGAGGGTGGGAGTTGGAAAAGGAGGAGCCATGACCATCGCAACTCGACGCCGTACGCCACACGGCGAGCTTTCGTACTATCCTGAGCTTGAACAGCGCGGGTGGAAGCGAGAACGACTGAGCGAAGCAACTGGGGGTCCCTTGAGTTTCGGAAAGCAACGTGCGAGCGACCGGCAGTTGCGGCAGTTACGCTCTGGCAGTCGTACGGAGTAGACGTGCTCGTGGACAAAAGCTGCGCGTTTTCTTACGACGTAAACCGAAAGTTAAAGTTCGTAGGTGTTCGTGCGGAGTGCACTCTTGACGTATAATTTTCTTTTCAAACACGAGAGCTCAAGTTTATAAGTTTCGAAAAGACTGCAGTGTACGGATAACGATGTGTAGAAGTGAAGGATCAAACTTAAAGTAACATTTGAAAGTTGTAACGAAGTTTGGTGTTCGATGGTGGAGTGACAATTTGGTGATTTCAAAAGACTGTGGCCATCATGATTTGGTTATTAGTGCTTCTTAGTTTGTGCGTCAGCGTGTATGTTGAAAGCAGAACACTGACGTCTTTTGAGGATGTGCCCCGTGGTTGCGAATGGCAGTCGGTGTACGATGTGGAGTTACAGGAGGAGCGTGTGCTCTCCTGTCAAATCAGGACCATTGATAGTGCGGATGCACTTCTTGCAAATCTAACTCAAACACAAGCTGATCGCGTTACAGCGATGAAACTGGAATGCAGCGACGTGCTCTTCTTCGAGAGCACCATTGACTCCTCGGCGAGGAACGGGGCCGGTTTCCTCTCGAAATTCCGCCGCCTGAAAGACCTCGGTGTCGAGTACTGCAAGATCCGCAATATTCCAGCCGCGGGCCTCGCTAGTGTAAGACATCTTAAACGGCTTTCGCTGCGGTCACACAACTCCGACTGGTCGGCGATGACGCTGGAGCTGCACTCGGAAAGTTTCCGCGGCATGTCCGAACTTCGTAGCCTGGATCTAGCCGACAACAACATTTGGAGCGCGCCTCAGGACTTGTTCTGTCCGCTCTTCAGCTTGGCCCATCTAAATTTGACGCGCAACAAACTTCAGGAGGTCGTGTCGCTGGGATTCTCCGACTGGGGCAATGGGCCTCTGGCGCCGGGACACGCCTGCGTCGGTGGGTTGGAGATATTAGATTTGAGCGATAACGACATCATTACGTTACCCGATAATGGGTTCAGCGGGCTGCGAGCTCTCAAACAATTGCATTTGCAAGAGAACGCGATTTCCACACTTGGTGATCGGGCCTTCGTCGGGTTGAACGCGATGCAGTATTTGAATATGTCGAGCAACTGCTTGGTTGCTCTACCGCCAGAACTTTTCCAGTCTTCTCGGGAACTGCGTTATCTCTACTTGCACAACAATACGCTGACAGTGCTCGCGCCTGGTTTATTGGAGGGTCTTGACAAGTTGCAAGTTCTTGACTTATCACGTAATGAGCTGTCCAGCCAATGGGTCAACAGAGATACGTTCTCGGGTTTAATACGCTTGGTTTCCTTGCATTTAGCCCACAATCAATTGACTCGGATCGACGCGAGTCTCTTCCACGACCTTTACACCCTTCAATACCTGAACCTTGAGCACAACACTATCAATTTCATCGCGGAAGGAGCTTTCGCCGAATTAAAAAACTTGCATACTCTGACTCTGTCGCACAATCGTATATCTAAAGTCGACTCGCAATTCTTTGCTGGAATGTACGCGTTGAATCAATTGTTCCTGGATGCGAACCACATCGAACACATTCACGCAGACGCCTTCGAGAACGTGACAAATCTGCAAGAACTAGTGTTGAACGGTAACATGCTGGGTGGCGTACCTGAAGGATTGGGCAAGTTGACGAATCTGCGAACGCTCGATTTGGGCAAAAACCGTATAGAAACCGTGAAAAATTCATCTTTCGAAGGACTAATTTCCGTTTATGGCCTGCGTCTGGTGGACAATCACATCGTGAACATTTCCAGGGATGCATTTTCCACGCTACCAGAACTGCAAGTGCTTAATTTGGCATCGAACCGTATCAAGTATGTCGAACAGAGCGCGTTTGCCAGCAACCCGTTGCTGCGTGCGATCCGATTGGACTCTAACGAGCTCACGGATATCAGTGGTGTGTTCACGAATCTAAAAAGCCTAGGTTGGTTGAACGTTTCTTCGAATAACCTCGCCTGGTTTGACTTCAGCCACTTGCCACCAAGTCTCGAGTGGCTAGATATGCACGATAACGAAATTCCCGAGCTGGGTAATTACTACGATGTTTACTACAAGTTGAAGATCAAAATGTTGGACGTAAGCTTCAACCACATCACCGAGGTGTCGGCGAATTCGATTCCCGATAGTGTAGAGACTCTCTTCCTGAACAACAATCGCATATCGAGCGTGAAGCCGGGCGCGTTCAGCACCAAAGCCCATTTGGAAAAAGTGGTTCTTTACGGTAACGATATCAAGTATTTGGATCTTGCCGCGTTGAATCTTGCACCGGTGCCTGACAACAAAGATCTACCACAGTTTTTCATCGGCGGCAATCCATTCTACTGTGATTGTACCATGGAATGGCTGTTGAGGATAAACCATCTTAGTAATTTAAGACAGTATCCGCAAGTGCTTGATTTGGACAGCGTGACCTGCGAGTTGGCACATTCCAGAGGTTCACCACCACAACCTCTGCTGGAACTGAAGCCCTCGCAATTCCTATGTCCGTACACTACGCATTGTTTTGCTCTGTGCCATTGCTGTGAATATGACGCATGCGACTGTGAAATGACGTGCCCGACGAACTGCAGTTGCTTCCACGACCACACGTGGTCTTCCAACGTCGTGGACTGCAGCAACGCCGGTTACACCGCTGTCCCGGAGAAGATTCCAATGGACGCGACCGAAATCTACCTGGATGGCAATAACTTGGGCGAGTTGGGCAGTCACGTATTCATCGGTAAGAAAAAACTCGAAGTTCTCTTCTTGAACAACAGCAACATCGTGCATGTACACAATCGCACGTTCAACGGCGTCAAGTCGCTGAAAGTGCTGCACATGGAGAACAATCATCTCGAAGAGTTACGCGGCTACGAGTTCGATCAGTTGGAGCGTCTCAACGAGCTTTATCTCGACCACAACAAGATCGCGTTCGTCGGCAACAACACGTTCGGCAAGCTGCGCAAATTGGAGGTGCTGAAGCTGGATGAGAACAAGATCGTCAACTTTACACCATGGCAGCAATTGGCGGCCGACACCGAGACGGGCGCACCGCCGCGCGTCACGCTCGACGGCAACAAGTGGTCGTGCGATTGTAACTCTGTGGGGCGGCTGGAAGCGTGGCTGCGCGCCACGGGCGGCGATGCGTCGCGAATGTACTGCACGGAAAACGCCGCTAGCGGCGAAACGCTCGCCGAAGTGATACGCCGCTGCGACAACACAGCGAACGCCGTCGCCACCTCCGTCATTCAACGTGAGCAGATCTTCAAGAACAACCCTCTGCTGGGTGGTACGTACGTGCCGCTCCTGGCCGCTACACTTATCGCTGTGATTGTTGTGTGCTTGCTCGCCGCGATTGCATTCGTCTACAGACAAGATGTGCGACTGTGGGCGCATTCGCGCTACGGAATTCGACTTTTCCATGATAGCACCACCGCGCACGACAACGAAGACAAAGATCGTCTCTACGATTGCTACGTGGTGTACAGTCACAAAGACGAAGACTTTGCAGCGAGATACATCGCATCCGAATTAGAACAGGCCGGGTTTGCTATGTGTCTCCATTATCGAGATCTGCATCTGATGGGTGGTGCGTCCTACCTCGCTGATGCTATGATAGGCGCTGCGGATGCATCGCGTCGCGTGGTCTTTGTGGTCTCGCCGGCGCTTTTGTGCAACGAATGGGCTCGTCCTGACTTCCGTGCCGCGTTGCAAGCCGCTTTGCGTACCGGCCACCGCCACAAACTCGTGTGCATACTAAGTGGCGATCCTTTGGAGCCCATGGACCCTGAATTACGCGATCTGCTGCGCGCGTGCACTGTGACACGATGGGGCGAGCGACGGTTTTGGGAGAAGCTGCGCTTTGCAATGCCGGACGTCAACATGCGCTCGGTGCGACGCAATAAGAAGCCGGCGGAAATCAGATGCAAAACGAATGCGCGCTACACGCCGGCACCGACCGCGCCGGAAGCGTGGTTCAAATACAACACCATGCCGGGGGTGCACGCCGCACTTACGCCGACGCCCACGCAGAGCACGTACGTGTCCGGCGAGTCCGCCAGGAGCACCGAGGACGAGGGTGCATCCAGCACCAGCAGCCAGCACTACGGGTCGGATCAGCTGAACCACAGCTATGTCTCGATCGACAACCGCCCCCCGCAGTACTCGCAATACCCACCGTGTCGTGAACCACATCACGTCTACTCGACCATTCCAGACACCCAACCTCAGACGCGGACGTACTTTGTTTAATTGCCGGATGACCCAAACGTTAACAGACATTGTAATCCAGTTACAAGGGTTCGCGCACCAGTTACACGACTTTAAAACCACGTTAAAAACTATAAAGGCTGTTATTCACTTAATTAGGAACGTAAGCAAATATTCGATTACGAAAACTACGTAAAAATCTATTTAAATGTCACTAAGATTAAGTAATTGAGTCGAATCAAGATTTGTATAAACTTTTAGGTTCTCTTGGCATTAATGGACTTAATCCTCACGCATTTCAGAATATCAAATCAAAACAACATTTTCATAATCGTGTAAATAATAATTTGTAAATAATTTATAGGGATATTTATTTATTTAAACTGATGTACGTTTTTTCAATCGATTGAACCGCTGTATTAAACATTACACACATTGTTAAATTGTATTATGACGAAGATGATATTGAAATGCGCTTATTAGTCACTATGTTTTAAGAAATATTTTGTAAATATAGATTTGTATCTTAAACGACGATTATAAATATTAACGAGAGGCGCGGCGAACGAAATGATGAATATTATTCAAGACTGTTTATATGTAAATATTATTATTAACAATTATAGTTGAAGATAATTTACGAAAGAAAAGAAAATGCTCTTGTCGATCGAAAATGAACCATTGTGAACCTAATAAAACACGATTCTTTTTAATTTCAATATTTGACTTTTATTCACGTCGAAATTAAGTGTTGAAAGCATGATTTAAAGAGATTTTGAGTCAATCCAATTATAGTTATCTGCAGACCTATCTAAAACAGGAGCGAAGCATTTTTAAATAAGTTTTTACCCCATTCCCGCAGAGTTTTACACTCTTTTTATCTGTGCACTTGTCTTCTCGCAGCTTCAGTTTTAATCGCATTTCGTAATAATATCAGGTAGCTGCTGCTTTGGTCGGGTAACTTCTTGTGTGGCGGTCCTTTTGTGTATTAGCGCTTAATAGAATGCGAAGCATCCTCTAGTCTTAAACCGTGCGCGCTCAATGGAATTTTCAGGCTTCTTCAACGGCGCTGCTCGCGTTTTTTGCTGAATGTCAAGGCGTGCTCGGCGGAGGTGCCACGTACTCTCACAAGGTTTTGTGTTTTGTGCCTCTCGGTTGATTATGGTTTTGGTAAGTTCTACACAGTAACTGAATGACTTTTGATTTTTTCAAACCACCCTGTTGCGCATCGCACCCGGATTTCGTTTTTTTTCTTTTCCACAGACTGCTTTGTGTAGGTGTTAAACTTTAAAGCTTATAAACGCATTTATTTAGTAAGGTATGGAGTAGTCTAGCCCTCACAGGTAGAAATCTCCAACATGATGTTAAGCTCTGAATAAGATAATAAATAGTTAGGACTTGAAACTTTTTTTAAATTTTGGTTAAGTTGAATGAAATTAATTTGCAATCCAAATTGTGTCTGCTTTAATAAAAACTCCACGACGGTGAAGAGTTTACTGTGGCCAGCATGGCAAAAAACCCGCCGGTTGCTGGCATGCACCTTCATAATGGCAATAAACGAAATTTAAACATTTAGGCGGTGCCGACGAAATAATAGGCCCCGAAATGAGCGTGCATGATGCAAGCGCACGCATCGCCGCGCTACATTATTCTGCTCCGGCTGGGCCGCGCTTCTTGTTGTTAAATGACTCTTGTCACCTGCGATTAAGCCGCGAGTTATTTATTTAAATTCGCGTCCGCCTTGTCCGGCTCGCCGCCTCACCGTTTGGGTGGCCGCGCATGCCTTATTCGCTCGATTATCGTGTGCGCCATTGAAGTCTCCTCGAGCGTTAATCCCTCGTGATTAATTACGATACGAGTTGAAAATTCGCATGTTTTTCGGCGCTCGGCTAATGATGCCTAATTTTTCAATCGTCCCTTTCGGACACAAGCCTTTAAATTATTGCCTAATTAAAGGCCACTTTGAAGAAACTGATCCTTCTTTTATAAATAAATAAATACAAATTTTTATAATATAAAAATTATTTTTTAATTTACGGATGTTGATAATGTGCGTAAAGTTCTTAGAAACTAAAACCTAGTAGTAATAATTGCTTTACGACTCTACACTCCCGCATTTTGGTCGTTTTGACCAATGGACCGAAACCTACCCTTATAATATACTAAAGATTTTATTGCGTTATTACTTTATTACATTACACCGAACGAAGTATAGTCCTTCGACCACTTTCGACAATAATTTACAACCGGGTCAACTAACAATTCGTAAAATGTTACTTTTACTAGTTTCATTCGACTCCCACAACTGGCATCGAACTTGCTTTCTAAACCGACTTGATATGCTTCATGGTAATATGAATTCAAGTTCAAAATCTGGTGAATAGATAAAGTAGCTGGCTACTACACATTATAAAAGTTTCGTCATGCATTCACGGCTTTTAGAAACATGCGCGAAATAGCAGTCCAAGGTTACGCAAGTTTTATATCCTATTATGTTCAAAACTACACTTTAAAAATGTTGCTTATTTGCACAAAACAAGAAAATTACGAGACGTCGACATTGCAATACTTTACGGGTGATTGTAAGTTATAGGTACTTGTAATTGAAGCAGACGCAGGACAAATATTTATTTAATTTCGATCAAAGTGTAAAAGAGATGGGCACAATCCAAGCTTGCGCCGATTTCGACTCGATCACGAATCGCGTCGTGCTCGAAAAATTTCACCGATATAAAACAACAAAAATTACACACCCGCACTCAGAACACATATTCGAGTCGATATCAACCGGTAAAACAACAAAATACAATTAACCTTGCCATAGCCGCGCCTAAAGTTGTAATATTTCGTGCTTCAATTTTCTATTTGAATTTGAATTTACCACGAAACGTCGTCATTTCCAAGGTTTCGTCTTGATATAGTTTTAGATTCGGCATATACTCATATCAAACACGAAAAAAAAAAAATCAAATTGAAGAAAGACGAAGCACGTTGTTGCTTTACGCCAGCCGGCGGATACATCCAGCAATATATAGCATAGAAACGGAAGAAGCTTTGGTTCGTAAAGGCCAGAACGAAATTGGTATTATACTGCTACTGAGTGGAGGCAGCGCGCGGATTGCGCTGCAGAAAAGTGTCGAGAAATTTCAACCGGGTAGTAAAATGTTAAATGTGAAGGATTTCCATGCGAAATGCAACAGGATAAGTGGAATGGTGTTTGGCGACGACTGCAAAGCTGAAATATGTCATTCTTTGATTTTTCATCTGGAAACTAATCTAAGCGAATAAAATTGTCGCAAGGATATGTTAAATTGCTGCGTGACGTATTTTTGTATTATATTGGCGAGGGTATTTACGCTGTCACATTCGCAACTTATCTCAAACACACATTATACTCAAATATAGACGTAAATATTAAATAAATATGCAAATACGCAGCTGCATATTATATTATCAATCGAATAATATTTAAATAACACTTTTTTGTTCATTTACATTGGTAACATTCCGTGTGCAGGCCTTTTTTAATTAAATTTTTCAATTCGTTCAAAACGCCTCAGACCTCAAGGCTCTCTATTTTCATTCGCGCGCTCCTTCGGCCTTTTCATTTCATTTATGCACTTCGATTCCTTTTTTCGCAGTTCCGCCAAATCGTTCCATCAATACTCACTTCAGCATTATTTAAACCGAAGAAATGAATGAATCTTATACAGGGTGACAAAATATACAATTTTTATATACCTATATATCATCATAGGTACCTATAATAATTGTTAGCAGAAACACTCGTTGGATAATAAATACCCCATGCTGTTCCACAATTCGTAAGGGATGTGTAGGTTTACGAGTATACCCACAAATTTAATTTGAGAGCAATTCGCGTGACTTATTGATCATGTCCGCCTTCAATTTTTGCAAGTCATTTGAACAAAATGTCTCTTTATTTATATAACGGTATACTCGTATCTAAGAACTATAAGATTGCCAGCCGTTGCAATTGTTCTGCACTCGATATTGAAATCGCTCTTCCTTTTCAAGCGCTGCGCCGTAACAACGGCACCCAAGCTTTAGTTACCGCAATCTCGTTATTAATGACGCTTCAAATTCACTTTCTACGTGTTTTATAGCCTTGCCATAGCCGCTCGTGCTCGGGTACTTGCTCTTGAAGGAATTTACACACACTTTGCAGTTGAGTCAACATCCAACCATCAATTTACTTTTAATTTTACATCCTCTTACATTGAAAAATAGATGGTAATAGAAGGTAAGATCATGTCTGTAAAAAATTGGCATCATCACGTAATCATGGGTAATCACCAGCCGAGACTTCCAACTGCACAGGCCCCCTCTAAAGCAATTTCACCCACTTTCAATATTCATATTCATACGTGCGTACTCTGTAGCAGCGCATTCCACGTGAAGATTTTGCTGGTTAACCTCTTAAACTCACTGGGTAAATCTACACTGTGGATGCGGATGATGTCAGTCGCGACAGAGATACCTATAAATGAAATATTCAGCGATATCGGTTCAATTACCCTTCGCGCGCGTTCAGCGCTCGCGCGCATCAAACATTTACGCGTTTATTATCTTTCTTACGAGCGCGCACGTATGAGTTTATTATGTACACACGTATTATGCGCTCGTTCACCTGAAGAAGCTACACGTAAACCCAGACGGTATTAACCGGGAACGTGTGAGTCGCGCGGCAATTTGGTTGGAAAATTGTATGAAAACATCGGCGTATTTGAATTTCAAAATATGCTAACTTTGAACAATCGATGGTTTAACGGAAACGCATGTTGGCAAAGGTAAATAGAGTTAACTAACTGCGGAATGATGGGAATTAGGTTTTGTCCAACTGATAATAACGCATATCTTATTAGGTTATTGCATTATTTATGTTTGAATTAGTTATCAATCAATACAGATTATTAAATATTGACAACCAGGTATTACAAGTTTTGTAAGCTCATCACCTTCACACTAACAAACTAACTGTTAAATAACTTAGTTGCATTGTTTCGTTACAAGTTTAACCTCGATTTTTTTTTCTATTTCTAAACTGACCACAACCAGCATTCTTGTTTGGATGGTTCATAATTGCGAGTGTAATTTGTTTGGAATTTACCAGATGCACGCATATATGGAGAAAAAGTGTATAATTTCGAACGACTTTATCGATTGTTACTATCTTCGACGCTGTGGCGAGTACGTTTTGTGTAAATCGAAGCAACAGAAGTCGGCACGTACGCATTACGAACTACTCTCTCGCCGTGTAGTGAATGAAGCAACAGTCTCTACAAGTCCTCAAGCATTGATGCACAGCGAACAAAAAGGCGAAGATGGAAGAAAAAACGAGCGGCGCGCACAGCGAGAAGAATGAAACCGAAAGAAACGTAATGAGCTGATGACGGATAACAACAATATTACGAAATCAATTTGGTCTCGTTTAAATCTAAAATTAAATATATTTCTAGACGTGTGCGAGTGGTGCGCTGGCCGGCGCCGTTGAATTATGTTTACGTACGATATAATTATGAAATATTATGGAATATGTTAATGAAAAAAAATTAAGTTTCATCGAATATAATTGCTAATGAGTGTTCTGGACGCCGATGCGAAGAGGTTCAAGTTCGAGGAACGCATTCGAGGGCAAAGACGCTTTAATGTCGAACCGTTACGTCAATCAGTTTGGAGTTGGATGAGAAAAAATGCACGGGAGCAATTTATAAACAGAATCAATATAATTATATTTAATTTTTAATTCAATCATCAATTCTGGGTTATAAATAGAAATATATACTGTAATTTTACAAGAAAATAATAAATTACAAGTAAAAAATTACATTTTTCCTCAAAAAAAAACTGAAGTGAAGAAAAGTGACGTCACTGTTGAGTACTTCGCTATGATTCGTGTATATTGACTCATTTGACCATTATATTGTTATTAGAATCACATGATCATGTGACCATGTGAATTTTACGACTAGAGTATTTCGTGGTATGTCACACCGCTACTAGAATTCAATGGCGACCGCCGAGAATGGCGAAGCTGGAATTCTGTCCGTTCATCGCCGCTGATGAACGTGCGGCACACCGATGCACACAATGCAGGTGAATCTCTACGTGCGCCGCATGTAATAACATGTTTATAAGATCGTTAGTTTTGTTAAGTGGAAGGAACGTAATATTAGCATGCAGTCGCCCGCCATGGCCTACCGGTCGTGGTGAAGCCATCAAGCCCAGAGCGCGACGGCTTTTGATCGCCACGCTCGGAAGGTTCAACGAGTGCATTACAATTCTATCGCACACACATACAAAAATACCTACATGCACACACATTTAATGTGTGTATGCGGTACATATTTTATTTGCGTTTATTTCACGTGGCGTGCAGTTTTCGCAACCACGTCGACATGTTGTTTCGAACGGGTGCGTCATGTGGGCATGAATGTCCGAAACATCCGAACAATATGCAACATCACAAGTTGTTCTCGCATTGCGCCCGCGATTGTTACATATTTATATTTATTCATACACGAATTTGTGCGCGAAACTAGACCAAACTGTTTTATTCAAACATTGGAATAAATATTTTATTATATTATATTATTCCGAAATATAGGTATAGCAAGTTAAAGTTATGTGTTTTATTTGTTATCAAACTCTGATGTCTTTTTTTGAATTTCCGCCTGGATGACTTTGACGCTTCCGCTAGGAATTCTCGCTGATATGGAAATTTGTTTTTATGATATTTGTAATTCGGTGTGTTTAAAAACACGCGTGTGTGCTTGACGAGTTGACGTTCTATTTGCATCAATTATTTTTTGGCCGTCGCACCAAACATAATGTTAATGATAAAAACGTGTTTAGTTATTCCACCAGAAATAAATATGCCAGTAATTACTTCATTTCGAATGGTGGGCATGTCAAAGAGCATGCACTAAATTAAATTATATTTTTTCTCGCTTTAAGATAGCAAATATTGCGCCAAATATAATAAATGTTTAATTCTCGTGACACGAATTTGATTTCACGTAAATCGCCAAAACGGTAAATCCACAGACAATCGCAATCCGATAGAACACATCGTATGGCGTTTGTGTATTGATGTAAAAACGAAACGTGATATTTTGATTGACGCGTTTCGTGAATGCATCAAATAAAGATATCACGTACGGCGACTGGATGAATAATTTAAACGGGTGATCGACTGAATACGTTATTTATCATATGCATACGTAAGCGCAAAGCTATAACAGAAGTGAACTCGTTTTCGTAATATTTTCCCAATGGTCGTCGGTAGGATATCATGGTGGTTTATAAAATAAAACGCACACGTACTCCTTGTTGTAGTGTAATACTCGTACGCAAAGTGCGTTCATCTGATAGCACGCCGAATGCTTCGATGCACGTACGCTGTGCGCTGGGACAGCTGTCGGTCGAGTTTTCGAATTTTGAATTTCGAAACGCATGATGGTACCCACGATGGGACGCAGCGATGAAACCTGCACGTCCATCTCGGTTAATACGAGTCTATGCGTTCGCCATCGACAGGTCGTTCAGGTAATTTTGTCAACTCTTTAGAGCGTTTTAAAACGTCGACTTTTTTCGACTCGTTGACGTTTTTTAAGGAGCAGGAAGCCTCCTAAAATAAATTTCCAACGACGAAATCATTATTTAATTACGTCGATCCAATGCGGCGATTGCACGCGTGGAAAATATACGAATATAAAAGGGGCTGGTTTCGATTTCGAGTGTGGACGGATAATAAATGTCAACCCTTATAGCTCGTTAGGACTGAGCACGTTCTCGTGTTGGAGAAAATAATGTTCGTCAATGGGAATCAAACCGGGAACACCGGGCGATTGGTTTTTTAAATTTACGATTATTCATGGAGTTTTGTGAAGATATTTGTGGATGATATCAAAGTCACAATAAATTTAAATTTAACTAAAAATACTAAACTATACCTAACCTAACTTAGCATCATACATAAACTCATTTAAAAGTAATTTAATTTAAACGCTTAGAAATGCAATTTTAAAGCAATAAATTCACACTGAATTTACGCCGAGATTGCTTAGAGTAGGCGTAGGTAATAACAGTTTGTTTAAGATAAATTAATGACTCCCATTAGTTGCGATTATATTGTTCACGTTAATATCCTCGTATCGACGCTCGTGAAAATCGAACAATTTACGTGCGTCGCCTTCGCTTTGCGCTATGATTTAAACTATCTCTTCATACATGCACTTGCTACGAGATATTTGCCTCCAAACAGCACTTAATTTTCGAATAAGTGAGTTGGATGCTGAGGCGCGCAGCGAGCTGAGCTGCTAAATATGTTATTATGATAATCAGCATTTAGCATAAAAGGGTTGCCCACTTAAGATGATATCAACATAAATGCACGAATGTGAAATTATTATCAGAGAACGAGGTAATTTATGCGTGTGGACGCATGAGGAAAACGTTTAAAACAATTTCCACTGCGGAAAAAACTAAAAATTGCATTAAACAAAGAAAAGCAAATAACAAGTTGATGAAAGCAGTGGCTGAGTTTTGTTTTGAGTTTGAGGAAGAAACGGTTTAAAACATGAACGTTAACTTTCTAAAAATTTCAATTTACAAAAGGTAATTCGCTTTTAATCATAGGTATCCTCCGCGTACTCAATGGTACCATCAAGTTACCATCACGTAGGTACTTACGATGGACTTACGATGGATACTTAGGCCAAAAACGTTGATGATTTATTCGTTAAAAATACAAAATCACGAGGCGACCATCAACAATGAACGCATGGAATAAGTAAACACGCAGATGCCTACTTGTCCGAAAATATTATTCGGACGGAAAGAAGCCACAGTTGACTGCAACATAATTTAGCGTTTATTTACGTTTATATTAGTTTAGAAATGCGGATAACCGAGAAGTTTATTAAATAGTGTAAGCTTTAATAAGTAATAATTCATTTGGATGAAGAAGCACACGGTGTGTGACTGGAATTGGTAGGAGTAACTGAAGATGCCTTTCTATTCTTTTCAAAGTCTTCAATTCAATGCGATTTGCATAATCGCCTATAAATTTGTTTATTTTGAGCGGTATTCTTGACGTAACAATTCAATATTTAAATAACCTAAGTAACTGTACTCAAGTAATCGTTAATTCCAGGAGTTTAACTGCATTAAACAAAAAATTGAATTTTAAAAATATTTGGAGCTGTTTATGACGTCACTGTTGAGTAATAAGTCTTCAAAAAAACAGTATTTTGCATTTTTTTAAATAAACTCATTAAAAAATTACTAAAAAATTGTTAAAACTATTAAAACTGTTTCTATGCTTATTATCTTATCAAAATATAGTCCTAAAATAAGTTTCAGACTGAAAATAAATTGTTAAAATAGAAACATTAGGTATAAAGAGAAGTTCAGCTAGCAATAACGCTGGAAACCCCGTAGAAACTTTTTAACATTGCTCTACACGCCGCAAAACCAACAGAATATTACCCTTATTGCCGAGTTTTCATTGGCTGGCCACCGGCTATGCGTGATGACTTTGCGCCTGGCGTGCACGAAGAGGAATGAAAGTTGCACGACATAAACATGTTCGATTACGCTCGCCTTGCGCATAGTATTTTCGCAGCATTTTATTTATAATGGTTACCATTACATGTCGATACAGTCGCACAGCGCCAACGAATGACCCGAAGGAAACCAGCCGCCATTGGTCCCACGAACGCCATTTTATAACAATATCAACAAAAAAACATAGCAAAGCGACACCAAACACAATGCAAGCATGCATCGCAGTAAAACAAACACCACAATTGCTCCAAACGCGTCGAGGCACAATTTATAACAAAAGCAGGAATAATGGAGAATGATGTTCCGGTTGGTTCGCCACAAATTTGTTGCTAGTTCCCACAAATTTCTCGAAATGACTTAATTTCACGTTGCTTACATTGGAGCGTAGAATTAATCGTAATTAAAAATTAAGCAGTTGAAATTAACGAAGCAAAGACAGAAATTAAACAATAATCCTCAGTCGTAATTTGAATTAAGAAATTAAAATGTATTTAATGTTTAATTATGAATTAAATGCATAATGAACAAATTTAATATGTTGCTTGGTTTATGATTTGCGCGTATGAATGATTCAATGTGCATTAATTGAAAATTATAGTTTGGTTAGTTAATTATTTGTCGTAGCAACTTTCGTCAACATTGGGAAGTGCGCACATAGGTAATATACCTACAGGTTATGCTCCGGGTGGATTAATTATGGACGAGGGCAATAGGCGAATGACCAAAAGTGGCAAAACTGGAGTTTTAGCCGAAGGACACTTTTGCCCTGCTGAAAATGTTCTCAAAGTGCAAACGATCAATGCCTCATTAGAATGCAGAAGTTTAACGGCAACACGATGAAATATTTAGAGCGGCAAAGCAAGCAAAGCATGCAAAACGGGCCTGAAAATCATAGTTTAACAAATCTACCAGTTGCCGCATGCGCTTTCGTCAAAGTAGAGCTGAAATTACGCAAAGAAAAATTGCGATTTTCTACAACAGCGCCTTTCAAATGCGTTTTTTATTGCTTGCAATTACATCTTGCTTTACAAGACGATTTACTTTGACATCTGTCATGAAAATTGCAGTTGTGGACTCCTATGGCGCATTTTTAATGTTGCGCCCAGGTGAACACCTTCTTGGTGGCGTGGCCTGAATGGACAGAAGGAAGTAGTAGCTTGTGGAAGGCGCACATAATCGTCAACTTCCTTTCCAACTCTTTTCTTCGCGCCGCGCCATCCGTCGCGGGCGTCGCACTCCTTGCATGCATCGAGGGCA